GAGAGAGAGAGAGAGAGAGAGAGAGAGAGAGAGATGAGGATGATGTAAGGGCACACACCTAGTCTTGGCGATGGTCTACAGAGTCCACATCTTCATGTACTTCGTTTGTTCCTGCTGACGTCAACAGGTTGCATTGTCAATTCGTAGGCTGGTGGTAGCTGTGTGATCGTAGTCTGGGCGCTGAGCGCCAAGTAGGAGGAAGGGCTCTGGATACATACGTTGGTGGTGGCGAGAGTATGCTCTCATTGACATTTGGATTCGGTGCTTTGGTTCTCCGCTGGTGAATATCAGTGCGTATCTGCTTTTCTGACAGTGCTCGACTTGCTGGCTTTCAATGTGATTTTGCATTCTGGATTTTCTGTCATTTCGCTATCGCTCATTTTCGGTGCACTCCCTTCTTGTTTTTCTAAGAAAACAAAGGGTGACAGCCTTGAGATCACCATCGAACTAACCGGCCCTAGGTAATTCAAAACTGTTTAATATCAGAGTGGCCCGATGGACCATGGATCAGATATTGAACTGATCGGAAGAGATACTACACTTGATCTTACCACCAGGATCTCATTTCCCCAAACTATTTATTAGTGACCCCATTTGCCAGCGGCCTGAGGGGCCGCGGTGGTTGGGATTTTGCAGTAACCCCGGGAGGTTGCCGCAAATTCCCTTTCTTGTTTGGAATCAACCTGCGGAAATGGAAAGAAGTTCGAAGATGAAGATATTGCCAGGAAATGTGATCTCGGAGTATGACTGGAGCAGGCAAAGAGGACCCAAAATCCAGGCGGCAGCAACCTTCTCTGTTGCGAAATGGGGAAGCAGTGTGACCCGTCCAGCCACTGTTTTCCCAAATCCGGCATCCCTTTTTTTAAGAAAATACGATTTTGGGTACACAGTGTGAGCGTGTCTGAGCTAGGGCAGTTGGTAAGTAAGGGCATATTTATATTAAAACAGGTGCTGCCGTCCTCACCCAAATAGAATGCGTGGTCATTACAACCGTATTTGGTGCAGCATTCAGTCTACATACAGTGATAATCGCAGGGTGTTCTATTCGGGTGCAGATGGTAGTTGCTAAGGGAACAAGTAATATATACACAAGGATGAATTTGCAATATAAGATAAAGGGTGATTGGACGGGTGAAGTATTCGAAAGAAAGAGGAGGGAAGAGCGAAGCGGGAGAGAGCCACAGAGAGAGAGAGAGAGAGAGAGAGAGAGAGAGAGAGAGAGAGAGAGAGAGAGAGAGAGAGAGAGAGAGAGAGAGAGAG